AGGAAGGAAGGAAGGAAGGAAGGAAGGAAGGAAGGAAGGAAGGAAGGAAGGAAGGAAGGAAGGAAGGAAGAAGGCCAAGTACTTTGTTGTTAAGTACATTTAAAGAAAATGTACAGTCTGGGTATGGTGATGCAAACCTATAACCCCAGCACTCAGGAAGGGGAGCATCAGAGTCAAGACAGTCTCAAACCCACAGTTGGACTATATGAGGCTGTCTCAAAAAAGGTGGGATGGAGAGTTCTTGCCAAGCATGCACAAAGCCCTGGACAAAGGCGTGCATACCTTTGGGAGGTAGAGGTAGAAGGATCAGAAATTAAAAGTAATCCTCTACTAAACAGTGATTTCAAAGGCTGGCCTGATGCATGAAAACTGTCTCAAAGACAACTACAGGCACCCTACCTTGTTTCTAGCTTCCTATGTTCACATGCCTAACCACTAAATGCTGGCTTCAATCTCAAGAGACACCCTGTGACAACTAATCAAAGTGCAAGTAGAACAAAAAAGAACAAAGGAAGATCTCGTTACCCAAGAGACTTTGAACCCATTACAGAATTTTAATCATGAAAGTAGTACTCTACTCATTACAGCATTGCAAAATTCCTCTGAGATGCTAAGTTTCAAGAAAAAATTATTTTGAAAGAATTTCTGGCCTGTGAGCTGCAAGATTAATACAAATGACTCTCCTATACCCTTCACCCAGATTTACTAATTAGCAAGTTCCCCCATGTCTTTGGTTACGTATGTTTTCTAAACTATTTGGGAAGTAGCCATGAAACATTCCTGAATCCTAATATTTCAGCATGCATACTTTACAAACAAGAATCTTGCCTTTAGCTGGGCAGTAGTGGCACATGTCTTTAATCTCAGCCTTTGGGAAGCAGAGGCAGGTAGATCTCTGTGAGTCTAAGGCCAGCCTGGTCTACAGAGCAAGTTCCCAGGACAGCCAAGGCTGTTACACAGAGAAACCCTGCCTGGAAAAACTAAAAAGAACCTTCTTTTTGGTAACAACATTGAACAATTATCAAAATTGGACAAAATGTAACATGCACATGATATTATGGTCTGGACTGGAGCATAATCCAGTCTGGAGCATGTTCACTTTCACAACTACCCGAATTTTCCCTGCATACACACTCCAGTGTGGGGTTGTGCACTTCAGGCATCTGTCATGTCTCCTTAGTCTCCTCAGTCTGGAACTGTTCCTTGATCGTCTTTTACTTTCACGTCAGAATATGAGTTAGATCTGAGTACCTGTTTCTGTTGTGAGGACACAGGTTTTCAGATCAGGAGCTCATGGGGTGGGTGGGAGCAGTCCTTCTGGCCTCTCCACTTTACACTTCCCACAGTCCTCTTGGAAAGTCAGTACTCTCTGCAGAGACGCTCTGAAACTATGCAAATACCCTGTTCTTTGCTGTTTTTCAATGCTCGGGATTAAACCCAGGGTACAAACATGTACCACACACGGTATCACTGAACTACAGCCCAGCCAATATCTGATTCTTTAAATTTCCCATTGTTGATTTTTCCCACAGATCAATTATTATTATGACAACTGACAAATGATGATCTTTCTAACGACCCTGTTTATGGACTTTAGTCATTAGAATTCTACTTTGTAAGGAACAATTTTTACTTGAATTGCCCCCAACTGGGCTTAAACTAGGTCCTATGTCCTAATATATGACATCTGGGGCAATCATTCTTGCAAAACGAGATATCATAGCCTTATGTTTATTTGGACCCAGCTCTGCCAACAATTATTTGAAAGATTACCAATCTGCAATTGTCATTATGAAGACTGACCCATGGAAAACGAAACAATAAGAAATTTGAGGAACATTGTCTCATTTCAGTAGGGAAAGGTTAATAAGAAAATTCTTTAAGGCAATTTTTAAATTAAGTTGTAATGCAGAAAAGCAAGTTACAAGCAGAAGCCTGGGGTGAAAATGGCTACGAGCCCAACACCTTACTACCTATAAATAGACTGCTAGAACAAAGGCCTCCAGTCACCAGAGCAGCCGAATGTTCTGCTTCATCTCAAAAATTCATCATTTAAACTGACATAAGTTCTAAATTGTCATGGCTAAAAATAAACTTTTACATTTTCCCCCTGCAATCTTATATAGCACAGGGTGGCTACATGGTGCAAATGTGGTCTATTTAGAAACGAAACTGCAGTACAGATCACTGAGATAGTGGAAGTCTGAAATTAAACTTTTAAGTCAGAGAGTTTCACTCATAAGTGAAACCAAGTTGTACAATTTTTACCCTTTAAGTTCCTCTCAACTGCTAACCAGAATCAAGTGGAAATGAACTAAGCTGTTACTGAGCATGGCTTGGGCCTTCTGAGTTTCTGTGTGACTTCAGGAGCAAGAAGAAAAAAATAATATTTAAATGTTTAAAAAGATTTCTTTCACCGGGCAATGGTGGCGCACGCCTTTAATCCCAGCACTCAGGAGGCAGAGGCAGGTGAATCTCTGTGAATTCCAGGCCAGCCTGGTCTACAGAGCAAGCTCTAGGACAGGCTCCAAAACTACACAGAGAAACCTTGTCTCAAAAAAACAAAAACAACAACAACAAAAAAGATTTCTTTTACATGTACAGGTGTTTTGGTTACAAGTATGTATATCATGTGCATGCCTGATGCCTTTTGAGGTCAGAAGAGGCCGTTGAGGCGCCTGAAATTGGAGTTGTAGATAGTTAGGAGCCACCAGGTGGGTGCTGGGAACTGATCCTAAATCCTCTAAGAGAGGAACAAGCGCTTTAACCACTAAGCCAGTTCTCCAACCCAAGAAAAAATAGTTTACATGGATAAAAGAGGCAAATGGTAGGGAATACTTGGAAATTTTTTCTTTTCTTTTCTTTCTTTTGTTTAAAGACAGGGTCTCATGTAGCCAAGGCTGGTCTTGAACCTCTACTTCCCAAATGGTAGAATTAGAAGGCATGTATTCCACACCTAGCTAAGGTACTTGTTTCTAATCTAAAATCTTCATAGCACCTTAGAATCTACACCTTGCTCAGCAGTCTGAATGCGGAGTTCATTAGTAGTATGAACATGACAATGACCTCTCAAACCTGCCAGAGCCCTATGTGGACAAATGAACACTTTCTATAGCAACAGAGGCACAATGGCTCTTCCCAGCCAGCTTAGACCTCTTATTCAACTTTGGGGCTGCAACAGACCCAGGTATAAGCAGACCTGGAATACACTAAATAGCTTTCTATTCCTTAGAATGTTCATTTAAAACTTAAACAAAACAAAAAACCCTCAAGAAAAATTTCATTAGTTTAAAAGAAAAAACCCCAGGGCAGGCAGGCAGTAAACCTCAGCAGTATCCCTGAGAAGGAGAAGAATTCAGAGGAGCCAGACTTTGTGAAGCTGCATGCCTGTGGCCAGGTAAGCCACTGGCTAAAACTTGTTTTTGTAGTTCACATGAAGATTCTATGGATATAAATTTAAAATTTGAAAGTCTCCTAAAAAGTAACAGCCCCATTCCCACTAAACTGTAGCCTAAGAGAACCTATGTTTTCTCCCATTTTGTGGGTTGGCCCAGCCCCTCTAAAAGTCAACACACAACCAGACATGGTGGTAATCGTCTCTACTCCAACACTCTTGAGGCAGAGGCAGTCAGATCTCTGTAAGCTTGAGGCCAGCCTGGTCTAGACAACAAATTCCAGGTCAGAGCTACATAAATGAGACTATCTCAAAAAAAAAAAGGGGGGGGGGTGGCTGGAGAGATGGCTCAGGGGTTAGGAACACTGGCTGCTCTTCCAGAGGACCTGGGTTCAGGTCCCAGCACCCACATGGAAGCTCACAACTGTCTGTAACTCCAGTTATAAGAGATCTGACACCTTCGCACCAGTGTACCTAAAATAAAGTTAAGTAAATTAGAGGGGGGGGGGGGGGGGGGGAGGGAGGGAACAACAGCCAGCAGATGACAAAATGGTCATAGACTACAATGATCATATATATATATACCTATTTCTTCTTCAAGTTTCAGTGCTCTATTGACTTTCTTTAAATTTACTTCTTTAGCCAGGCATTAGCAGCGCAAGCCTTTAACCCCAGCACTCGGGAGACAGAGGCAGGTAGATCTTTGTGAGTCTGAGGCCAGCCTGTCTATGAAGTGAGTTCCAGGACAGCCAGGACTGTTACACAGAGAAACCCTGTCTCGAAAAACAACTTACTTCTCTAGACTTTCCCCAAGGCTCAATTTAGCCTGAGCTTCTTTCTCCTTCAATAGACTCTAATATGTCTTTGAAGAAATCAATTGAAGCAAACCATACTGACCATAAGCTAAAGGGTTCAGTCATGTTTTGGGCTTCTGTAATGTTTTAAGTTTTCTGAGAGGCAGACCACCAATAAGCTATTTTCCTCTTTTTTGTTTGTTTTTTCAAAACGTATTTATGTGTACTTGTGAGAGTCTGGGAGGGTGGGTTCCTATGTACATATGAAGAAGCCAGAAGAGGGTACCAGGTGTCCTCTATCACATCGCACCTATTCCTTCAAGCAGGCTCTCTCCCTGAACTGGGAGGCAGCAGGTGCTTTCTTGCTAGGCTAGAAGCCATCACGGCACTGTGAGCCTTCTGTGGCTCTGCATCCCTCACAGCTGGGGTTGCTGGTGTGGTTCTTCTGAGGGGTCTGGGACAAAAGCTCTGGTCCTCGTTACTACACAACTGAGTGCTCTGAACCGCTGAACCATCTCTACACACTCCTCAAGCTGCTTCCACAGTACCTAAGTAGTTCACACTACCAAATCAGAATACTTGTGGATTTGGAATTTTCTAAATTAAGCATCATTTTTAAAGACAAAGTCTGTCATACACACCAGTCTGACCCAGCCCTCTTGCCTGCCTATGTAAATGCTAAGATCACAGGTATACCCTTGTACCTGGCTAAAATAAGCAGCTTTAGACACAAATACAAAAGGGGGGGGGGGATTATTCCCTACCTAGTAATTCCACCTCTGGGTAAACAACCAGGAGAATTTAAAATAGGATCTTGAAAATCTATCTGTACACCCATGCTCATCCTACCTCACTGAAGCGCCAAACAATTTTAAAAATCAACACATGTTGCCATGAGATGAATGAATAGATAAAATGTAGTTTACACGTGTAACGGAATATTAAAATTGGCTATGGTGGTTCACACCTATAATCCTAGGAGGCAGAGACAGAAACAACACCACAAGTCAGCCTGAGCTACACAGGAAGTACCAGTCAGGATTTTTATCAAGACCTTGTTGAAAACAAACAAAAACAGAACACAACAACAACAACAACAAAAAACCCAAAACAGAAAAATATTTGCCTTTTTTCAAAAGGACAGATTCCAACATAGATGAAGCATGAAAATATTATGCTAAATGAAGTCAGACAATCACAAAAGGACAACAACTGCATGCCTTCACATAGATGCGCGAGTCAGAGCAGTTACATTCAAAGACAGAAGACAGTGGCTGGGGCTGCAAGAGAGAAGTAACAGGGCTGCTGCCTAACAGGGACAGCTACCGGTGCAGCTCTGGGAAACCACAAGCTCTGGCCCTGCATGGTGGCGCATGACTTGGATCACAGCATTTGCGTGGTAGAGGCAGGTGGATCTCTGTGAATTTGACTGAGGGCAGCCTGATCTACAGAGTAAGCTCCAGGATATCCAGGGCTATGTAGAGAGACCCTGGTTCAAAACAAAATGAAAACCGAAAATACTAAGAGGTCTGAAGATTAGCTGCACAACAATGTGAATGTCCTTAACACTACTCAACTACAGACTTGATAGTACAGTGTTTGAATGCACTGGCTGTTCTTCCAGAGAACCAAGGTTCGATTCCCAGGACCCACATGAAGTCTCACAATCATTTGTAACTCTACTCTAAGGGATCCAACATCCTCTTCTATCTTTCTAGGGCCCCACACGTGTTATACATACATGCATGTGTAGGCAAAACACCCTATACATTAAAAAAAAAAAAAAAGATTTGCTATATAAGGATGAAATGTAGCTTAGTGTTGGTGTGTGCCTGCCAATGTGAGACCTTGAGTTCACTCTCCCCAACATGCCCTCTTCCCTCAAGAAACCTTCTAAAAATATTTGATAGTAAATTTTATGTTTTTACCACACACAAAAATAAATACAAGTAAACACTTTCTCTAGTTCACAAAACTCAACCCTAACCCTAGAACTGAGAGCGCCACTATCACATTATCTACCCTGTCAACAGCATGTGGCAGGGGGCAGAGTGACATGAGACAAGCCGCTCTGAGTACCTAACACTGCTTGATGACAGGTGTGTTGTCCAAAATAATTAGCTTTTAAAACACAACAGCCCTGACCCATCTCTGGAGATGGCTGGTAATCTGTTTTCTTCATTAAATTCCTGACAGCTCAATGTCCTCACATCTGTCACTGTTTAGGAAACTGAGTCCAAGAACCTCAACTGCTTCAAGGACTAGGCAACAAAATGATTCTGGTTCATGGGGCAGATGTGCACCCATCTGTTTTCTAATCAAAAGCCGTATTTGAGTCAGTTTTGCTCCATCCCAGGATCACACTAATGGAAACAATACAATCATTTGGGACTTCCCTCCCTTCATCTGTACAGTCTGTTGGACATTACTTATTCTTCAGTCCCAGTAATTATTTTTCCTTAAAGTGACATAGTTGCTTTAGGATCACACGAGACAAATATTTCTACTTACCTTAATCTTTTTTTAAGTTGTAAACTGTCATGGATTATCCTTTTAACAAATTCTAGTTCACCTCCTTCAGCCATGATTTCTGTGATGCCCCCAGTATTTACGGAACTAGGTGGAGGTCTTCGAGAATTCCGAGAGTTCACACCCTGAGCAACAACAAAAGCCATGGTCTTTGAACATAATCTAGCTATTATTGTGCTACACTGAAGATTTAAAAGGTCACACAGCCAGCTGGGGCTGTAGTTTGGTGATAAAGCACTTGCCTAGCATGCACAAGGCCCTGGGGATTAAATATAAAAACATTTACCTTTTATATAGCCCAATCTGTTGCTTTTCCTTTATGCTTTGTCTTGATACCATGGCCAGGAAATCTACCCAAAGATTAAATCAATATTTACTTATGTTTTCTTCTAATACTTTTATGGGTTTTTTTTATATTTAAGTATTTAATCCATCCTTACCTCACTTCATATGAAAAAATTAACTCAAATGAATCAATGGCGTAACTATTAAGAGGTAAAACTATAAAACTTCCAAGAAGAAAACATAAAAGTAAATTTTCATTAACTTGGATTAGCCAATGGTTTCTTAGATACAACACCAAAAAGCATCAGAACAACACAAAATAGATAAATTGTATTACATCAAAACTAAAATCAGCTTCACCGTAAAGGATACCATCAAAAATTGAGGACAAACCACAGGGTATGGAAAAATGTTTGCAAACACTGTAATTAAAGGGACTTGTTCTAAGTTGTGTAAAGGAAACTTAATAGGAAGGAAAGGAACCCAATTTTAAAATGGACAAGGAGGGTGGGGACGCAGCTTAATCGCACAGTGCTTGCCCAGTATGTGCAGGGCCCCAGGTTCAAAAGTCATTTTTGTTGCAAAACAAACAAAAATGGGCAAAGAGGACAGGGCTGCTGATCAGCTCAGTGTAGAGAGGTTAGCCAGAACTGTGAGGGTCTAAATTATAGCCTCCAGACTGGAAAGGGGTAGGTAAGGCGGGGTCTAAATGGCATTATTCCATGGAAGATGAGCAAAGGAACACTATCCACATGAAAAGATGCTCAGCTCAGCCAGCCTTCAGGGAAACTCCACCCCACACCCACTGGGGTGGCATGCCAAAGCTACAGATGTTAACAAGTGCTAAGGAACTGCAACTGTGGCTGCAACATGAGCAGCTGTCAATGCAGAAAACTGTCTGGCAGGCCAGAGACAACTTATTAACACCCGCCTCAAATTTAAAAAGACAGTAAAACAAGGTAATTGGGGGCTGGAAAGGTGGCTCAGCAGGTAAGAGTATCAGCTGCTCTCAGGACTGTGCCATCAAGTCTTCCCAAAGCCCTATCTGTAGTCTTTGAATGTAGAGAAACAACACTTTTAATAAATTTTATTGCAAGGTATGGTTACTTTTTTTCATAAACTTACATGAAAGCTAAATTTTTAATTATTTTAAGTGTACTTAACTTTATTTTCTAATCAGGAATGTTAGTGTTTCTAATAAATTTCTACCCAAATGCCCCCCACTTTGTCAAAAAAATTGTATTTGAAGATTTATTTATTTTTGAGCTGAATCTGATGATGCAAACCTTTAATCCCAATACTTGAGAGGAAGAAACTTCTATGAGTCCCAGGCCAGCCTACATAGTGAAACCCTGTCTAAAATAACAATAACGCCGGGCGTGGTGGCGCACGCCTTTAATCCCAGCACTCGGGAGGCAGAGCCAGGCGGATCTTTGTGAGTTCGAGGCCAGCCTGGGCTACCAAGTGAGCTCCAGGAAAGGCGCAAAGCTACGCAGAGAAACCCTGTCTCGAAAAACCAAAAAAAATAAAAAAATAAAAAAATAAAAAAATAAAATAAAATAAAATAAAATAAAATAACAATAACAATTTAAAAACTTTTATGTGTATTGAGTGTTTGCATGCATGTATGGTACTACTGGTCCCCAAGGAGTCCAGAAGGCGTCAGAGTCCCTGGAACGGAACTTAAGTTACAGACAGACTGTGAGCTGCATGTGGTTGCTCAGAACTGAACCAAGGTCCACCGAAAGAACAGTAAGTACTCTTAACTACTGAACCCCTCCAGGCCCTCCACTGAATTTGTATGTTTTGTTTTTGTTTTTGTTTTTTGTTTTTTTGAGACAGGGTTTCTCTGTGTGTCCCTGACTGTCCTGGAACTCCATCTGTAGACCAGGCTGGCCTTGAACTCACAGAGATCCACCTGCCTCTGCCTCCTGAGTGCTGGGATTAAAAGAATGCACCACCACCAAAGCCTGGTAGAATTTTTCAAATGCATTATGTTTTGGTTGTACAATGCTAAGGTTTTTGTTTTTGTTTTTACCTAGGGCCTATCACATGCTAGGCAAACACTGTACCATTGAGAAATATTCCTAGCCCTCTTTTTTAAATTTTGAAATAGGGTCTCACTAAGTTGCTTCAAATAGGTTTAAACTTACTCCAAGTTCAGACTAGTCTGGAACTTGCAATCCTCCTGCCTCAGTCTCCCATGTACTGAGAATTACAGACCTCCACACATCAGCTCATTTTAGCCAAGTTTGTTCAATATCTAAAAGGAAATACATTTTTTTTCACTATTTAGCCATTTATTTACTACCAAATGACAAAAAACCAGTAACTTTTTGTCACTAAACTGATAAGCTCAGTCCAACAGAAACTGGAACCTATCTTGGTTCAATTTTAAAAGTTCAAGGTATGGAGGCTGGAGAAATGGCTCAGTGATTAAGAACACTGGATGTTCTTCCAGAGGACCTGGGTTCCAACCTCAACACCCACATGGTGGCTCACAAACATATGACCCAGGGGCTAGCCTCTGAAGGCAATAGGCACACATGTGGTGCACAAACACTCACAAAGGCAAAACACTCATACACATAAAATAAATAATAAATTTACATTTTAAAAATGGTTTTAAAGTTCAAGGTTTAGGGAAGAAAGAGATCTCTCTTTACCCTCTCTCCCCCTAAGTATTGCCTAACCACAACCAAAAAGCCTAAGAAAAGACAGCAGAGAGCCAGGACAGAGTCAAGGGAAAGGTAGAAACAAAACTTCAGCTTTTACAATACTATGAACGCCTTGATCAAACTGTTCCTGAAGCCTAAATAACTGGACTTCTCAACTACATAAATTAGCTTTATAAACTATGAAGTCCATCTGTACTGAGTTCATAAATATCTCAAACCAAACAGCATTCTGAATTATACCTACTCTAAAGAAAAACTGCCTTTTGCTCGTATCTTTGCAAATGAGGTAAAATTACTAAGTGTCCAATGACTTTAAAGAGCTTTACCTGGGCTTCCAATTGGTTAGCAAAAAAGGGAGGGTTGCACATGCAGAAGTCATAGATTATCTCAGACTCTTCTTTAAGAGCATCCATTAGGAGTGTCTTCTGTGGCACTTTTACCACTAGGGCAGAAAACAGGAACTGTTAGTTACTATTTATTTTGTAATGGCTTTAAAATAAGTGTACAAAATACACAACAGAGGAGGAAAATAAAGACGAGCATGTGTATATAAATTCCTTCAAACCACTCCTAGTATGAAGCAAAACTGCATAGAGAATTAAGTAGACGCATTAACCATATCAATGCTCCCCTTTACAATATGTGTTAACACTACTAGGGAAAATGTTATTTCTTTTATAAAGAGGCATACTACAATCTGCTTAATAAAATAAAATGTTTCTTCCCTGGAACTCCCCCTCCTCTTAAGAATTCTCACTTTTCTGTAATAATGTAATTTATGTTCATTTTGCTAAAAACTAATTATAATTAAAAAATTAATAATAAGGAGCTGGAGAGTGATTAAAAACACTCATTTTACTTGCAGGACCCATGTTTCGTTCCTGCACCCACATGGTAGCTCATAATCACCTCGAACTCTAGTTCCAAAGAAGTCAACACCTTCTTCTCCTATCAGAAGGCACCAGGTATGCATGTGGTGCACGGACATATATGTAGGCAAAACATGTATTCACATAAAATAACTCTCCAAAAAATCTAAAACTATGTCAATATATAATGGTCATAAAATGTAAATGATAACTAGGTGGAGTTGGCCTAGTTCTAGCAAATATCTACATACTAAAATTAAGATAATTTAACAGGGAATCGTGGCCCAAGCCTATAATCTGAGCACATGGGAGGTAGAAGCAGGATAGAGAAATCAAACATAGCCTGGATTACATATTGTAACTTTTTTTTTTTTTGGAGACAGTCTAACTATGTAGACCAGGTTGGCCTCAAACTCACAGATTCGCTTACCTCTGCCTCCCTAGTGCTGGGATTAAAGGAGCGCACCACCACCACCCAGCTAACCCTATGTATTTTTAAAATAAAATATACTTTAATAAAGAATAGGATAGTGCTCCCCACATCAGTCAGTAAAGTGCATGCCACACAAACACAAGGACTTGAGCTAGAGCCTTAACACCTACATAAAAGCTGGGCATGGCAGTTCACCCTGTAACCTCAACAGTAAGGAGACAAAACTACAGGATCCCTGGGGCTTTCTGGACAGGCAGCCTAGCTGAACCACTGAGCTCCAGGTTCAGTACAAGACCCTGTCTCAAAAAATACAGTGAAGGAGCTAGATAAATGGCTTAATGGTTAAGAGCATTCACTGCTCTTCCACAGAAGCTGGTTTCTACTCCGATCACCCACATGGTAGCTAACCACCACCAGTAACTTCAGTCCCAAGGGAATCTGACACTTTCTGGCCTCCGAAGGCATTGCACATATGTGGTGTTAAGCAGGGACATAGACAGAGACAACACTCACACACATAAAATATTTTTTGAATTTTTAAAATAAGCCAGGTGGTGGTGGTGCACACCGTTAGTCCCAGCACCCTGGAGGCAGAGGCAGGAGGAACAAGGCCAGCCTGGTCTACAGAGCAAGTTCCAGGACAGGCTCCAAAGCTACACAGAGAAAAAAACCTGGTCTCGAATAAATAAATTAATTAATTAATAGGTTTTAAGTGTTAAAGTGATTGAATACCCTGATGTAGACTTTGGGAGGCTTCCAAAGGTACATGCACATATATACCTGCTCACACAGAAAAAAATAGTGACTAAGTTACTTCATAAATAACTGTTTTTTGGAGAAAGGAGAAACTGCAGCAGGGATATAAAGTAAGTACGTAAATGAATGAATGAAGGAATGCATACCTTCTTTTTATAATTCATGGTAGCTACAGTCTAGGAAATCGCCAGGAACACTGAACTAGCAAATACAAACTCCTTTGGGAAGTACAGAGCTAGTACAGTTTCTGAAAGCCTAATACATCATCTACAGTGTGTTTTGACTTAAAGACAATTCATTTAATATGCACTGCTGGTCAGGTGTAGTGGCACAAGCCTTTAATCCTAGCAATCAGGACCAGATGAAGGCAGACCTCTATGAGTCTGAAACTAGCCTGGTCTACAAAGAGATTTCCAGCCCGGGCTAGGAGTGTGGGGCAGGGGTGAGAGGGAACTATAAGAAAGAGCTCAGTAGTTAAGAGCACTGGATGCTTTTCCAGAGCTAGGGTTCCATTTCCTGCATCCACATGGTGGTGTATTGTCCGTAACTCCAGTTTCAGGACATCTGACTCCATCTTCTGGCTTCCTTGGGCACTAGGCACACATGTGGTGCAGAGACATACATGCAGGTTAAATACCCATATATTGCTGACTCACTATAACTCACCTAAGTGAAATGTATTTTCTCTATGGCACATACAAACACAAGACACTTGAGCACTGCTTAGGGGTCATTTGAAATGGCAAAGTCCCTAAGAAGCAGCATAAAAATGCATTCAATGAGGCCAGGCAGTGGTGAGGCACGCCTTTAATCCCAGCAGTCGGGAGGCAGAGCCAGGCGGATCTCTGTAAGTTAGAAGCCAGTCTGGTCTACAGAGTGAGATCCAGAACAGGCACCAAAGCTACATGGAGAAACCCTTCTCGAAAAACCAAAAGGAAAAAAAAAAAAAAGAGCACTCAAGGAATGGTAACCCTAGAAAGCAAAAGCAATGCCTGTTCACAACAAAACACCATGAGGGCAGACTACAACCCTGCTGACCTCAGCCAGGAGCACAAACTGGAACTCACCCATCCTCCAGTGGAAAGATGGAGCCACTCCTGCTGACAGTTCTCTAGCCTCTACACACGTGCTTTCAGCTGTGTACCCACCCTCCCTAACACACAAATAAGCTGATGAAAGGAGAAACTAAAACAAAAGCAAACAAACAAAACAAAAAGACTTTCAAATCTGGCTATTAACAAAAGGATTCTAAACTTCAGGTAGAGCTCATGGCTGCAATCCCTACTCAGAGGACTGAGGCAGGACTAGACAGAAAAGGAAACTATCTTTCATTAGCATACTGGCTATACACTGTTCAAAATCATTAAATGTCTATCTGCTTTTGTAGTACTACAGGTTGAAGCTCACAAATATGAAGCAAGTACTGTACCAATGAACTAAATCCCCAGCCCTTTTGATATTTTTTATTTTGGGACAGATTCTCACTAAGTATATAAACTGGTCTTGAACTTGCTTTGTAGATCAGATGAACTTTTTTTTTTTTTTTGGTTTTTCCGAGACAGGGTTTCTCTGTGTAGCTTTGCGCCTTTCCTGGGACTCACTTGGTAGTCCAGGCTGGCCTCGAACTCAGAGATCCACCTGGCTCTGCCTCCCGAGTGCTGGGATTAAAGGCATGCGCCACCACCGCCCGGCTCAGATGAACTTTAAATATTAGATCCTCATACCTCAGTCTCCCAAGTAGTTAAGATAACCTGTGCTACCAGGCCTGCTTTAAATTTATAGTGTAAGTACTCCTCCTGATGTTCATTTTCCAGTAACTGAAAAGGACAGGGCTCTCCCTAGCTGCTATGAGCAAAAGAACTTAGTCAGCACCAGACATCCTGAACAGTGTTCCATAAATGTATTTAGAAAACTATATAACTGTCATAAGTAGTTGCCTCAGCTCTGAAGGCAGAGCCACAGGCAGAACTGCTTAAAACAGTTATATTAGACTTACACTGTGTTATCACTAGCCTTGAGGAAATCTAGATTAGAGCTTCTTAGAATTTTAGCACTCACAACCCCCTTTGCCTGAGATTTCTTGTTTTATTTTGTTGGTTTTTCAAGACAGGATTTCTCTGTGTAACAGCCCTGGCTGTCCTGGAACTCCTCTGTAAATCAGGCTAGCCTTGAACTCAGAGATCCACCTGCCTCTGCCTGCAGAGTGCTGGGATCAAAGACATGAGCCATGACCGTCCAGCTCGGGTTTTTTTTTGTTTTGTTTTGTTTTTTGTTGTTGTTGTTTTCAAGACAGGATTTCTCTGTGTAGCACTGGCTGTCCTGGAACTCGCTCTGTAGACCAGGCTAGCCTCAAACTCAGAGAACTGCCTGCATCTGCTTCCCCAGTACTGTGATTAAAGGAATGGGCCACCACTGCCCAGAATCTGAGAAAGTTTTATGTGATTCTAGGTGTACAGGTCTATAATACAGATACGTAATTGGGCATGATAGTCCAGGTCTATAATCCCAAAATTTCAGGTCACCCTCAGCTACACAGTGAGTTTAAAGCCAGACTGGAATACCGATACACTGTCTCCAAAAAAAAAAAAAAAATTTAAAGTGGGAGTGGAAGTGTAGCTCAGTTGGTAGAGTGATTACTTAGCACACACAAAACCCGTATCAATCCCCTGCACCACATATAGGTATAGACACCTATAATCCCAGCATTTGGAAGGTGGAGGCAAGATCAGCCAAGTACAAGGTCATTCTCAGCTACACACGAGTTCAAGGCCAGCCTACACTGTCCAAAACTCACAGGTACAAAAGTACATTTTCTGATAAATCATAAAGGAGCATAAAGCAACTATTTGGCATAAATATAACTTTTCCATTCATTGATGGTAAAAGGAAATTTGAAGCAGAAATGGATATGCTATGCTTATTTATTTTCACATAAACATCTTGGATATGTAAAAATATATTCATAGAACATCTTCAAGGTTTTTCAGAGGTGACCAATATTTTGATCTTATAACTATCAATCTGAGAGTGCTACTTTGCAAAAGTACATAGCATAAAATGGGAAAACATCTCAGAAACTCTTGGAAATTCTGTTCTTATCCCATACTAAAATTCATTTGAACAACTTTCTAAGGAATTTAAGTCAGCAACTCAATCAGCATTTTTTGTTGTTTTGGTTTTTGTTTTTTATTAACTACTGCTGCTACTATTAGAGACAAGGTCTCACCATGTAGTTTTTACTATTACTACTACTATTAGAGACAAGGTCTCACTGTGTAGTTCTTACTATTACTACTACTATTAGAGACAAGGTCTCACTGTGTAGTTCTTACTATTACTACTACTATTAGAGACAAGGTCTCACTGTGTAGTTCTTACTGCTACCACTACTACTAGTAGTACTAGTACTAGTACTACTGGAAACAAGCTCTCACTGTGTAATTCTGGCTGGCCTGGAATTCACAGAGATCCACCTGCTTCTGCCTCGGAACTGCCAGGATTAAAAGTGTGCACCACCACACCTGGCTTTTGTTGCTGTTGTTGTTACAGATTTATTATTCTCTTTGTATGTATGTTTACCTGAATGAGTTTATGTACATCCTGCCTATGCAGATGCCTGTAGAAGCCAGAAGACATCCAATTTTCTGGAACTCGAGTTACAGGCAGTTACAACTGATGTCAGGCATGGTGATACTCATCTTTAATCCCAGCACTCAGGAGGCAGAGGCAGGAGGATCTCTGAGTTCAAGGTCAACCTGGTCTACAAAGTGGGTTCCAGGGCATCCAGAGCTACAGAGAAACCCTGTCTCATGACAAACAAACAAAAAACCCATAGACAATAGTAATAAGACATTTTAAATTAGAGAAGTTTTAATAAACAAAGCTTGAGGGGCTATTTATTCACAAGAACCAACCTTTAATGAGATCAGATAGGTTATTCTGTTCCACATTTTTCTTTGCGTAATTGAAGCACATATCATCCACTTCTGTTGCCAGGAAATACCAGCCATTTAAGGTTGCTCCAAGTAAGGGATAGATGCAGGATGCCCCAGTACCTAGTAAATAAAAATCCAGCACATTCCACATATGAGCGCTGAAGGTGAGAACAATAAAATCCTTTTTCTTCTTAGGAATTCTTTCAAGTCTCCACAGCAGAACTCACAAGTGAGGCTATTCTGCGCTACTGGGCTTGCTCCTCATTTCACTCGTGAGTCTGACCCCTAAGTACAAATTTCCTAGAGGACAGAAACCTTCCTGCCCTTCTGTTCCATGCTGTGTGTAAAATGAAGTACAGACAACTGGAAGCCCAGGAAAGCACAGCTTATTAACCTAAAGTGGCTAAAATAACTAATTTTATAAAATTTGCTTATAAAAGTCTTTATGTCCCATACAAAACAATTTCCTCAATGCAATGCTACTTATTAAAACACCATAGTAGTATCTTAAAACAAATCAATAAGCTGGGAATAGCGTCACACACCTGTAATTCCAACACATAAGCTGCAGAGGCAAGAAGACTGTGAGTCTGAGACCCTGCCTCAAAGAAAAAAGAGGAAAACTAAGAAAATATGCAGATAAACACAGTTTATTCTTGAAAAGCAGAAGTGTGTGTGCATGCGTGAGTGTGAGTGTGAGTGTGTGTGTGTGTGTGTGTGTGTGTGTGTGTGTGTGATTTCTATGGCATCAAATGGCCTGACTCCCTGTGGTCTGTGGTTGTGTACAATGTCAGTCGTTGACTAGCCCTAGCACAGGTTCAAGAGACATAATGAGAAGCCAGTGCTTCATGGGGGGGGGAAATCAGCTTCAACAGCCAATATTTGTTCCTAAACTTACATGAAGAGCCCCTACCCTGGACTGGTCTACTTTCCCCTCCAAATGCTGCCTTTACAACCACTAATAAATCTTGACCAATTAGATCCCAATGTGTATATCCAAGGGAAGGAAAGCTAGGGTTTCCTGAGGGCTACAGTCTGGACCAGCCACTCCAGGGCTGCTTTCCCCTGACCACAAACTGATTCCATTGTAGCTCTGCAGGTTCGGAAGGTGCTCCTAACCCAGAAGCCCACTCATCCTCATGACCTATTCTCAACAGGTTGGGAATCAGAGACCAAAATTAATGGTTGCAATCCTTAACCTCTTTGCAGCCACAGTTATTGTCTCTTGGCCCTGGTGCTGTTAGGTAAACACCTCTTTGAGGATTTGGGAGATAGAAAGGGATGAGGATACCCAGCTCCTCAAGAGTCAATTGTTTAGGCCTGGGCATTATGGAGAGCTAGAGTGTTTTCACCTCTCAAGAAAAAAAAAAAAAAGGAACCTTTTTTTAAATTTTGTATCAAAGGGGGAAAAATAAAATGCAAGTAAAAGAACAATCCTCTTACCCTCCTAAGATTATTCTCTAATCCTCAAGACCAAGAAACTTGCATCCTGACATTCTGATATCCTCAAAAAACCAAACAAGATTTTAAGTGGGTAATAATCTTTATAATGATAAATAAAAATGGAAAGCATAGTCACAGAATTAGAGCAAGCTGATGGAGTCTGGGGGAAGAATTTATATAGAACCCTAATTAGAAAGAATATGATTTCAGCAAGCATTGCCCCTTGCGAAGAGCTAAAATCCATTAACCTCGAGTATCCCCAAGTGCTACTTCAGAGGGTTTGGGGCATAACTGAAATGCAATTAGCACCAAATAGGCTAGGATCCCTTTCCCCACTTCCTCCCTAGTTATGGTCTCACTGCATAACCCAGGCTAACACTGGCCTGGAACTTGTCATCCTGCTCTGTCATACCCCAAGTGCTGAGATCACAAATACCTGCTACCACACTTTTCAAGACAAGCTTTTAGCTTTCTAAGACCTGTCAGCCATCTTCTACCATGAACAAAAAAGTAAGAGCTTTAAGTGAACTCCATCAGGTCTCCAGTGCTTAGATCACATGAAGCACTTAGAATTCAAATGTCAAAAGAATGCCTTTATCCAACAACTTCGCTAGGCCTTGAGAGATTATTTTAACTAGTTTGCAATCTAGTGACAGTCTAGTATTATAACCAAGAAAGCAACCTTTCATAGATTGCAAAGTCAGAGAAAGCAGGCTTTAGTTGACAAGTATAATATAAACGGGAACCAACAGGACAAAGACGGGAAGTCTGAGGCACAGCAAATAACATATACAAAAGACTAAAGGTCTAGAAAACAGTGTGGAAAAGAAAAAATCATGTAAGCTGAGGCTTAGAGAACCCAGGGAAGAGGGTAAGAATCAGACAACAGAAATTCTGATGGGCCAAGCCAAGGTTTTAATCCCAGCACTCGGGAGGCAGAAGTAGGCAGATCCCTGTGAGTTCAAGGCCAGCCAGATTTACAGGGCAAGTTCCAGGACAGCCAGGGCTATACAAAGAAACACTGTCTCAAAAAAAAGAAAAAAAAAAGTATTTATCACAAAAGCAATATAAGGAACTACTAAGAGAAGATGTGATCAGATGTGGACACATATACATCTTTTCTGGACACAGTGCCAACAATGAAATGTAAGAGCAACTGAGTAGAGATGTCAGCAAAGCAGCCGAGAAGCTGTTCTGTACACATGGAAGAGAGGATGATGAACTAGACTGGGATAGTGGCAGTGAAGATGGACAGTAGTAGAAGTCATAGGAAGCTCACAGATGGTGCCAGAGATAGGATCAGGAGTTCAAGAATATGCTGAGCTCCAGGAGATCCTGTGTCAAAAAGTCACAAATAGGGCTGGAGAGATGGCTCAGTGGTTAAGAGCACTGACTGCTCTTCCAGAGGTCCTGAGTTCAATTCCCAGCAATCACATGGTGGCTCACAACCACTTACAATTAGATCTGGTGCCCTCTTCTGGCCTGCAAGGGCACATGCAGGCAGAACACTATACATAATAAATCAATAAACCTTAAAAAAAAAAAAAAACAACAACCAA